ATGAAAAATATATGAATTGATCGACAAAGAGGCGCAAATTTCTATACCTAAATTTGGAAAGAACCCGGACTGTAATAGTAATTTGAGTTTATGAAAATGATCGACAAAAAATCTCTACTATTAGGTTTTATTATTTGGTTTCCCCTATGTTTGCGATTATACTTATATCTAACACCCCAGTGTTACATGGCTGTTGATCATATGTTACAAATTATTATGTGCGGATTTTTTAGTATCTTTATCATATATTTCAACACATTGTAAATGTTGACAACAAAGTTCAACTAACAATATATTTTTTTGAAAACATTAATTATAAAAAGAAATTTATCTGTTACAATCTAAATTTTTATGGTAATAATAAATTGAATAACTTTAAACCATGATAAATTTTTTTTTATATAATAAAATTAAACAAAATTTTTTATAGTTTTATTGCTAAATGAAACAAATGATTCAGACCTAGGAAATTTTTATTTTATTCAACCTGGGAAAAAATTTTTAATACTTACATTTGACCAAAAATCAAGGATTTTGACACAAAGACAGCCTTCTAAGATCAAAGGCAATATTGGAGTTTGTGGAATTCTTCAATTTTATTATTATACTTCTCATTATTATTCTTGCTTGTGTTTTAATATAATATTTTGTACAGTTTTTTTATTATTTATTCTTAATTCATTATGTTTTTTAGAAATTATAAAACAATAAAATATTTTTTCTACCCTTTTTTTTTTACATATCTTAATTATTGTTGTAATCTATAGCTTTAACCTTAAATTCTTTCTATTCTATAATTATTAGTAATTGGTACATGTATAGCAACATAATGTATGCTATTTACCAGCATAATCAACAACAGGAAAACCACATTTTTTGCCATATTGTTCAGGTTGCAACACATCCTTCAATTCACATGATCCATATTCAACCTCCAACCATGAATAGAGAACATTATCATGCTCCATCATTAAATATTCGTCAGGCCCCACACCTATGGGCCATATAATATCTCTTGTATTCTGGAGAGTTGGATACCATGCTTCACCTTCTTTTCCACCCCAGTCAAAATCTACCAACATCCCCTGAGGAGATGAAGATTCCATGTCAGTTACAAGAATGTTTGTTGATCTTAGATCACCAAATACCAATTGATTTTTGTGCAGTAACCTTTTTGCCTCTGCAATATCTTTGAAAACTTTTTTTTTGTATTCAATGTTCAAATCATCTTTGATCATGAACAATGTTTTTGCTTCTACATACTCCATAATAACCATATGGTATCCCATGTATGCTACATCTTGATTATTATAGTACAGCAACCTAGGTGCAAGTTTATGTTTAGCACAGAGTTTGTGTGCATAGACATTGTATGCAGTGTTGTGAAATTGGAACATTGTAATGCTATTGGAATTATAGATGCTGGTCACAATTCTTGGTGATGGTTGCAACCATATTTGCAACATATAAAAATGGTTTGTGACACCTGGTTGCAACCACCTTTGCGACCACTTTGGTTTCCTTTTTTGGATTGCGACATGGAACACTAATTGGAATGTTCCAATGTAGATCTTCAATTGATATTAACCAATAAAATTCGTGTGTATGACACTATAATTGAATTTCATTGGTTAACTTCATTGGAACCACATTTGGAATGTTCCAATTCCAATTGGAATTTATTAGAATGCTCCAATGAAATTTTATTGGAACCATAAATGGCACAACACTGATTGTATGTCTCATAAAATTTCACAAAAATTTTGCAATTTTCTTCAATGTGTGCAATAAATGAATAATTATTTCCAACCTTGGCTTTATAATTAAATTTCACAATCTTATGATTTTCATTGATGTATTGTTGTGGATATGGGTAGTTCAGTGTTAGATGAGACTTATTCAGAACTTCTTTGTAAAATTCTTCCAATGCATTCACTGCCTGTTTAAGAGCCCCAAAAAAGCAGAAGATAGACTGATACTCTGTAGATTGATTAGATGCTACTAATGTCAGATACTTAAGTGATTGAAAAACAAATTCTCCATCCAGTTGAATGAATGCAAAAACCCATAAATGTGGGCCTGCCAGAGAAAGCAATAGTGTTAGCAATCCACAATCTTGCAACTCTTTTGCATCAGGAAAATGGGTACAAATATTATGCATATATAGTACACAATTGCAGGGATTAAGCATATAATATGTGTACATATCGCGTATTTTTTTATGTATGCAAATTGTACATATATTATATGCTTAATCCCTGCAATTGCGTATTATATACGCATAATATTTGTACCCATTTTCCTGATGTGCAGCGTCAATAAGTTCTAAACAATGCCTTGTAACATAAATGTAAGTTTGGAAGTGTGGATCATTCATGGACATTAATTCATTCTTAATTTCTATGTGCAACAACCAAGCAAGTTCTGCTTCACCAATATTCAACACAAAAGGTATGACTCCATCAGTTGTTGGACAAATTCCTTTTGTCATTGATGATTTTTTCTTCAAAGTTACTGGTTGTATTGGCTTCTGAATAATATGGGAAAGATAAAGTTTAAACATATCTCCATGTTCAGTTTTGTTTTTATAATATTGAGGCATTGCTTGACATATATTAATTACATTTTCTCTTATGACTTTTGGTATATTTGCAGTTTTATCATCACAATCTTTAAGAGACTTTGGAATATAATGTTATTGGTTGTAACATAGTGGGTATTCGATTTTAAGAAATGATTGGCATTAATTACACTACATATATACAAACTGACCATCATCTGACTTTAACTCAACTTTGCATCACCAAAATCAATTTTGCAGCAATAACAACAACATATTCTGATTTCTCACCTTCTATTTTATAGGCTGCCAAAATAATTCAGTAAAAAGTGAAGTAATTCAGAAGTTAGTTATAGAAGTATTTTTTGCAATTAGAAAATCATATGTTCACTGAAAACAATAAACTTAAATTAAATCATTTAACAACTGTTAGGGACCATAAATAATACCAATAGAAAGCCCACATTCTGTTTAATATTCTGGTTAGTGATTTGGATGAGTAAAACATTTATTTAAATTATTCTTTTGTATTTTATTTAATTTGTTAGAAGGTACATTTATAAATGTTAATCATAATTCTTGCACTATTTCATAGTTCTAAATCATGTCATGTAAAGGATTACTGAACCAAAAGAAGACATGAGTTGGTTATAATGGTGTTATTAGTCTATGGTGAGAATGTATGAATGAATTTATTTAATATTTATAATTTTATTTAATACAATTTAATATTTATAATTTATAATATTTATAATTTATTTAATACAATTTAATATTTATAATTTAT